TCTGACTGTCCTGGAACTCACTCTGTAGCCCAGGCTGGCCTCGAACTCATAGAGATCCACCTGCCTCTGCCTCCCGAGTGCTGGGATTAAAGGAGTGCGCCACCGCTGCCTGGCGCCGAGTCCTTTTTTAACGTTGTGATTGGAATTGTTTAATTTCATTTTGGATTACCTGTTGTGAGTGTGTAGAAACATGACTGGTTTTGGTGGGTTGCTCTTGGTTCTTGCACCCGGCTGCATTTGGTGTTGTCGTGCAGTCTGTAGAAGAGGCCAGAGCACAGCTTTGTTTCCTGTATGAACCAGAGAGAGTGCCTTTCAGCACTCAACACGTGTTAGCTGGGGCTTTCCTTCTCCATTGTGAGGAAATACCCTTTCCTTCCTCATCTGCTGAGTGCTTTATCGTGTTTTGTCAAACGCTTTGTGTCTGTGGTGCTCTTGTGAGTTTTATCTTTCTTCTGTTGGTGGTCGGTCCCACAAGCACTTTTCATATGTTGAACCAACTTTCCTTGCATCCCTGAGGGAACCCCACTTGGTTTTGGTGTGTAATTCTTTTTCAGGTGTTGCTGGGTTTGCTTTCTAACATTTTGCTGAGGGATTTTGTCTCCATAGTCATGAGAAGTGCTGGCTTGGAGCGTGTGAGATGTCTGTTTGGTATCAGTGTTAGGTCGCTTTGCCGCTTGCATTCTCAGGCACCGCTCTTCATTCTATACGTGAGGATGTTGGGGTCAGGGGGGGCGAAGTAATCTGCTGACAAGTGGCAGAGTTAGGGTTGAGTCTGGGTTGTTTTAGGCCAGTTACTAGGATGATGGCATTTATAGCGGATGCCGGAGCAGAGCCATCTCTTAGGACTGTCCCATCATGGGTGCTCAAGTAACCGTCACGTCAGCTCTACGTGTGTGTTTGTTCCTACTGTCGGGGAGACTGACACACGGTCTGTGGCTTCCCTAGTGAACTGTGGCCAGGCTCTGCCGTTCACGCAGATGCTCGCAGGTTCTGCAGCTTGCTCCTGGAACTGCTGTTCTCTGTCGTGTTTGAAGAGCCGGAGACTTTCTCTGCAGCTAGAGCAGCAGTGTCACGTGTGGACAGCGGCTTAGATTTGGCCCTGGGCATGAATGGGCTCACACTGCCCGTCAAGCCCCACTTCAGCATGGCTGAGTCAGCTCAGCCCGGGAAAGCTGGCTGCATCTTCACCCTGCCCTCTCAGCCAGCATTGTATCTCACTGTTGAATGTAAGAACCCGGGTATCCTTTTGCCCGGACATAATTAGAATGAATGTGAGCTTGACTCTGCGTGAGGTGGAGAGGACTGCTTGGTTTGTTAAGGTTCAGTGGCCCAGACTGGTCCCTTGACTTGCTAACTGAGGATGACCTTGAGGTCCTGTCCCCCTGCCTCTGCCTTCCCAGTGCTGGGATTAAAGATGTGTACCCCTACGCCTGGCTTGAGACATGCGTTCTTTCCTGCGGTGCTAGGGATTTACGGCACGCTTCAGTCCTGTGGGCGCCTCCCAAGATGCTCAGCTGAGTGTAGAGGATGCCCAGGGCAGCCGCTCAGTGACTCAGTGACACAGGCTTTTCTGAGCTGTCTGGTCAGGTGTGCTCTCTGGTGGGCTCCGTTCCTGTTCCAGTCCCATGTGTTTATATCCGTTTATCCCTTGTGTCATAGGTTCAGGGCTTGGCGGGGGGGTGGGGAGGGAGTGGTGTTAAGTTCTCTCTCTCTCAGTGGTACATTCTCTCTCTCTGTTACTTGTTGGTGTTGTTTGCCTACTTTTCTATTGTTTTTTTTTTGTTTTGTTTTTTTTCGTTTGTTTGTTTTTTGAGACAGGGTTTCTCTGTGTAACCATGGCTGTCCTAGAACTCGCTCTGTAGACCAGACTGGCCTCAAACTCACAGAGATATACTTGACTCTGCCTCCCAAGTGCTGGGATTAAAGGTGTGAGCCACAGGCTTTTTCTATTGGGTTTTAATGTTATCAGTTTGTAAACTATTTTAATACATGAAGAATATTGACTGACCTAGTACAGTCTTTTTCTCTTCTGTGTTAACTTTTTAAAAAGATTTATTTTTATATATGTGAATATGTGTTTGGGTGTCCATGGAGGCCAGAAGAGGGTGTTGGATTCTCTGGAGCAAGAGCCACAGGCAGATGGACGTGTGGGAGCCACATGTGAGGTCTCTGGAGAGTAGACACTAACTGCTGAGCCATCTCTCAGCCCCTTAACTGACTTTTGAGACACTCACTGGGAGATGCTGATGGGGACCCCAGCCTTAGAGACTTGTAGTACCGATGGCTGTGCGGGCGGGCGGTGGCTTCTAAGCGTGGCCAGTGTGGAGGTGCGCGCCTTTAGTTTGTGCCTCCGTGGAAGCTGTCTGACTTGTGCCTAAAGAGCCCACTCCTACAGTTCCACACTGAAGGCAGGCTGCTGGCTGAGTGTGCGTCCTTAGCGTCTCTACCGAGCGTTCAGAGCGTGCACCCCGGGAGTCAGCAGGGAAGGTCTGGCAGCAGCTGGGCTGCAGGACACAGGGCTCTGTGGCCGGCCACCGGGCGTTTGCCCCGGCATTGCAGAGAGGACACTTGGACACAAGCCTTGCAAAGGTCGGAGGCTCCGGCATAAGCAAACTCCTCTTCTGCTTCTAGCAGGGGGTTCAGGGCCACAGGAAGGCTGCTGGAGGACAAGAAAGAGCATTGCCCACCACATGTCCCACTTGGCACAAATGGACAGGTGCTGGCCTCTTCTGTTCACAGTGATCTGGTTTTCAACAAATTTGTCAGGGTTTGGCCACGTGCCAGTTCCACTTAGCTTTATCCTCGTTCCATTTGTCTTTTGAGCAGAATGTCATACAGAAGCAGACAGGAAAATTACATCAAGTGCCGGCTAGAAAACCTGAGGTGGGTGGGGCCTTAGCCTGAAGCACAAAGCTTCCTGTGTTCATGTCCATCTGGCAACCCAGTGGGATTTGTCTGAAATGACCCACGAGGAGTGCAGGACCTGTCGCCCACATTCCCCGTGCCCAGCTTTCTCTGCCAGAGGTTGAGTGGTCTGACACAAGACCCTCTTCATGTCTCCTGTTCTTCACACTGGCCTGTTCCCTTCCTTCTGTCCAGCTGCCACCAACATGTCATCAGGCTGTCTTCGACTGCCCTGGCTACTAGCCTAGTACCTGGCTCTTAACTTTTTCCTGCAGGATGGCACTGCCAGGCCCACTGTCTTGGGAAGGTGGCCCCCATCAGCCACTTCCCATTTAATTGCTTCTCCTTTTTCTAAGACCTGGCTCTTAACTTCACGGCAGCCTCAGGTCAGATTTCCCCTTCCTCACTGGGACACTTAGCAGCCAGCAGTTGGTTTGGGTTGCTCTGAAGGGCAAGCCTGTTTCAGGAGGATAGTAGCCGGCCCTTGGAGGCAGGGCAGCTGCTTCTGTCTCCTTAGTCTGCATAGTTGGTAATGTAGACTTGCTCTGGGGATGCCAGCACAGTGCTCAGACAGAGGAATGCTGATGTCAGGAGGAGGAGGGGGTGTGGAAACTGGGAAATGACCCTGCAGGCTGAGGAGAAAGCCACCAGATCAGAACTTATTTGGGGCCTTGGCTTCACACCTACAAGGTAACTTCACTTTGGCATTTTCCTGTCGCCAAAATAGGAAGGGTGGAGTGATTCCTCCCCCCCCCCCCCCGACAGACGCATTTTCCTTCATGATCTGTCTCAGTCTTTCTCCTGGAATGAAAACCCATGGACTGCTTCTGGATATTGTAAGTTTTTCCGACAGGTTTCTCAGTGCTCTCTCTGCTCTCTGTCTGCGCTGCAGAGGGAGCTGGGTTTGTAGTCTGGCTGCTCTTTAGGACAGTGGACAGAAGGCCGGGTGCTCTGTTTTTGCAGCTTGCCTATTGCAGATTTGGTGCAGCTTTGGTGGCCCATGGTTCTCATGTGGTTCTCTGCTTTTCACAGACACGATGCGGCGAGTGGTGCGGCAGAGCAAGTTCCGGCACGTCTTTGGACAGGCCGTGAAAAACGACCAGTGCTATGACGACATCCGAGTCTCCCGAGTGACCTGGGACAGTTCCTTTTGTGCTGTCAACCCCAGATTTGTCGCCATCATCATAGAAGCGAGTGGGGGAGGAGCCTTCCTGGTGCTCCCTCTGCACAAGGTGAGTGGCGCCCCATTCTGGAGCTGGAGGTGCAGGCGGTTGGTCTCTAAGTTGCCTCGTGGGTGCTGAGAACTGAGCTCAGGTCCTCTGCAGGGCCAGCAAGTACTCTAACCCACCGAGCCACCTCTTCAGCCCCTGGGTTTTGGTTTTTGAGTTGTAAATGGAACATGAGCTCAAGAAAACATTCTGAGGGATGAGCTCACTGTAGATGGTTGTATCTCGTTGTTTAGGGTGCACATGACCCTGGTTCCATCCCCGTTGTCAGGGCAAGAGTGTTGGAGGTGTCCACACAGACACACGGGATTCAAATTTATCCCAATTCTGGTAACATGTCGCAGCATAAGATTTAAACTGTTTAACAAGGGGCACAGTGACAGGCCCTGACTGAGTGGCTCCGTGTGCACTCCCCTCAGCCTGTCCCCACTGCTCCTCTCCTGACTGTCTCTCATTGAGCCCTGGCCCTGTCGGGCGTGAGGTGGAGCTTCTGTGCTCCTGTTCCCCTTAGCAGTAGGAGGAAGGGCTTTGGTGAGTCCCGAGCTCTAGAGGTAAGGTTGAGTGTCCTTACCACCCTATGAAGATGCAGATGTGGAGGACAGCTGTTTCCCTGCTGTGACTATCGGCAGGGGACTTTGTCCCCCCTGCATGTCTACTTCTGAGCCATGTGTACTAGGGCACATCTCACTGTGGATCATGGGCTCTGAAGGTCGACACAGTGAAGTCAACCTTTTGTTGACCAAGAGTACTACTGCTCCACATCAGGTGGATGTTTCCCCCTGGGGAAGCTTCCGGTTCTCCTGGAGTTCCCTTTCGGATGTTCATGGCCAGCTTATTTTGTTTTACGTCTGCGTTTGACTTCTATGGCTGGGTTGATTGTTATACAACTGCACCAGCTCTTGAAAGAATTAGGGAGACGGTGCTCAGGGAACAGAGCAACACTCATTTCCAATGCATCGTCCAGTCAGCAAATGTGAGTCTTACCGTTTGTTAACTGGACATTTCTGCTTTGATATTTTGTTTCTGATGACTGATGCCATGCCATTGTAACTTAGCCTGATTTTGGAATGGGGGTTTGAACTTAGTGATGTGTGTCACCCACACATCTGTTTAGTATGTTCCTTTACTTTTCTTCCTTCCTTCCTTCCTTCCTTCCTTCCTTCCTTCCTTCCTTCCTTCCTTCCTTCCTTCCTTCCTTCCTCCCTCCCTCCCTCCCTCTCTCTCTCTCTTTCTTTTTTTTTTTTTGGTTTTTCAAGACACGGTTTCTCTGTGTAGCTTTGCACCTTTCCTGGAACTCACTATGTGGCCCAGGCTGGCCTTGAACTCACAGAGATCCGCCTGCCTCTGCCTCCTGAGTACTGGGATTAAAGGCAGGCGCCGCCACTTTATTTTTCAAGGCTCTACTTTTAATTACATATAGATGTAGGCAGATTTTTCTGTCCTCCCTGCCAGCTCCCAAATAACCACATGGAGACTTCTTTTTTTTTTTTTTTTTTTTTGGTTTTTTGAGACAGGGTTTCTCTGTGTAGCTTTGCGCCTTTCCTGGAGCTCACTTGGTAGCCCAGGCTGGCCTCGAACTCACAGAGATCCACCTGCCTCTGCCTCCCGAGTGCTGGGATTAAAGGCGTGCGCCACCAACTCCCGGCTCGAGACTTCTTATTAATTATGAAAGCTTGGCTGAAAGCTTAGGCTTGTTCTTAACTAGCTCTTATAACTTAACCCATATTTTTATTAATCTGCATTCTACTACTTGGCTTTTACCTCTATCCCATTTTGTGTGTCCAACTGGTTCTCCAACTGTCTGACTTCCCCCCTTTTTTCTTCTTCCCAGCATTCTCTCTGTACCGAAAATCCTGCCTAGCTATTGGCCATTTAGCTCTTTATTAAACTAATCATAGTGACATATCTTCACACAGTGTAAAGGAATTTTCCACAACATATAGGTTGTTTTGTGTACCTCTGTATGCATGTGTCTGTGGGTCTGTAAGCATCTGTATGCTCATGACACATGTGTATGCAGAAGCTAGAGGCATTGGACAGATAGTTGTGAGCCACCTGGTAGGCAGAGACTAGAACTCAGATCATCTGGAAGAGCAGCAAATTCTCGTAACCACTAGGCCATCTCTCCAGCTTTGTATTCCTTTATTAGTACCGAGGGACACTCAGGAAGTTGGCTTTTTATTACTAGGGCTCAGGGCGGCCATCTGAGAGGACAGCCACAGCCTGTCAGCCAGGTCAGGGACTCATGGTCTGTTTGGAGTTAAGGCATTTTTCTTTTTATAAACTGAGCGACAAATTCAAGACATTCTTTTCTTCAAAGAAATGGAACAAGCCAATTAAGAAGCCCAAAATAAACTCTGAATGGCTAATCTTCCGCTGAGTTCAGACAGTTCCTTCAGCTTCCACATCCACAGAAGGTTCTGTGAGTCCATCTTTGCTTTTGCAAATCACGGGAGACTTTGAACCTCACAGCACTGACTGGAGATCTGTTCAGTGTGGTTCTTATCTACATTAAGTGGCCTCCATTAGTCACTGGCCTGTTGTTCTGTAATCATCCTCACGGGAATGCGAATCGAGTGAGCCCTTTGAACATTGCTACGCTTCGGCTGGGAGATAGCTTAGTGGATAGTGTTAGCATGAGAACCTGAGTTCGGGTCTCCAGCATCATGTGATAAGCTAGGCTCAGTGATGTATGTCTATAACCCTGTCACTAGAAGGGCAGAGGAGGAGGAGCCCAGGGGCTGGCTCACTGGCTGGCAATCTATCCAAAATGGTGAGCTCCAGATTCACTGAGAGACATTGTCTCCAAAAATAAAGTAGAAAACAATATAAGACACCTCCCATGTGCACACACACAGGTGAGTGCAGCCATACATGTGTGCGTGCACACACGCACATATATCCCTCAGGCATTTCTTCCACAGCTGGAACACTGTCTGTAAGGCTCTGCCTTGACGGTCTTTTGGAGGAGGAGCTGACAGTGATGTAAACTTGGTGACAACATTGGAAGGTAGACCAGGGCTTGATGTTCCTGCCCTCTCTCATCGGAGGCTCCCGGTACTCGGTGCTTTCCATTAACATTGACAGCAGAGCAGCATTAAGTGCACCGTAAAGTCTCTGTGTCACAATGGCTCTGAGGAAAGAGTGAGGCTGGGAATGGAAAAGCTGTGAAACGGTCCTGGCTGGGTCCCCTTGTGGTGGGACATGGATCTGTCATTGTGTCCTTCCGTTTCTTTCTGTAACTTTATAAAAGTGACGTTCTCGGCCCTCGTAATTCTGTCTGCTCTCGGTGCGTCTCCTCTCCGGTGGCCATCAGCTCTGAGGCAGGTTCTGAGTGGGTTCAGTATTCAGAATCCATAAAGCAGATGGTGGTGGTGCGTGGTTTCCCCTTCCTGGTCTGACATAGAACTGCAAGGAGCAGATGCCAGGGCCCTGCCCAGCAAGAGAGGGTGGTGGTCAGTCCCGGGGCCTCAAGAGGCACCCCTGTGGCCCTGTGCTGTGGGAGCAAGGCCTGGCCATGAGATGGGGTGTCAGCCGACACTGGTGTTTCTGTTCTTGCTAGGGAGCTGCCTGGCTCCTGGGCGTCAGTAGCTGTAGAAAACAGGACTGTCCTCCATGTTGGCAGGAGGTGCCGACCTGTAATTTATGTCTAAGTGTCTGGGTCAGGATGTGGACTTGACACTGTTGCTGGTACTTGCCTGTCACTCTCCATTGTTGTCTGTTACAGGCGATGGGTGGTCAGTTGGTTCTAAACTCAGTGCCTGCCCAGCGCCAGCATTTCTGCCCTTCAAAGAAAACTTGCATCTAGTTTTTGTAGTGGTCACCCCCTCCCTGGTGGGGGAAGGATTGAACCTCAGGCCTGACTCATGCTAGTTAAGACCACTGTCACCAAGCTGCACCCTGACACACACACACACACACACACACACACACACACACCCGCCCCCAGCATTGAGGTCTGTTTTTTAACCTGTACCAGAAAGTATCAGATTGCGGCTACTGGCCCTGTGTGGTGGTACACACCTTTAATCTCGGCACTTGGGAGGCAGCCTAATAGTGAGTTCCAGGCCAGCCGCTGTCTCGGCACCCCCTCCTACCCGAAGAGAGCAAGGACTTGAGCTCTTGGTGAACACCGACTTACTGTACCTGCTACAGCCTGGGGTTACTCTAAAAGAAACGAGAGCTTGATATGGCTTTGATTTTATTTTTAAAAAATTACTTATTTTTATGTGTGTGCGTGTTTTGCCTGCATGCATATTTGTACAATGCCTGCAGAGGCCAGAAGAGGTTGTTGGATCCCCTGGAACTGGAGTGAGCCTCTGTGTGCATGCTGGTAATTGAACATGAGAGTCTCACATTTAAAAGCTAGTATCTGCCCACAATAAATCATTATTGTAATCTGAGAGTTTTGTGATTAGATCCTCAGAGAATATAAATGAGTTAGACGGTCTCTGTCTTCCAGGACTTAGGATCCAAAATGTTAATATTAATAGGGGCAAATATACCGAAATGTGTGTGTGTGTGTGTGTGTGTGTGTGTGTGTGTGTGTGTGTGTGTAAGTGTGTAAGTGTGTAAGCTCACGCATAAGAGCCAGCACACACATGAGCAGTCAACACGTTGGATCATGTTTAAGTATGTGATTTATGAGTTTTTTATGGGGATGATTTTATTAAAGTAATTGTTAGCAGTCCCTGCTTGAGGAATAAGGAGCGTTCCCAGCTAAGGTGTGGTGGCTTGGATTAGCCCCTGTGAACACCGGCTCTGCTGTAATGTTGCTCAAGCCGTGGCATGCCACTCTGCCATGACTTCTGCGGGTGTGGCTTGGTGTATCTCCCTGTTCTTCAGTCCTTCAGTGGATGAGTAAGACATGGCAGTCGTACCAAACACAAACAGGCTTTGTGGTCTTGACCAGCATGAGGAATAGTTTTTCCCTTGTCACAGTGTCTAAGCTGCTTCATCTCCAGCACGCAGGTTTTCAGTCCCCTGAGCAGTCTGCCAGGCTGGCA